CTCTCTGACTTTTGCACCGCGCTTTCTGGAGTCCTGCTCAGATTCCGTAGAAATTTCAAGTCGATCGGCAAGTTTAAATGCAAGTAAACAGCTCTCTGGATTTGCATCTATTCCCTGTTTTAAAAAGTCGTTGCCTTCAGTCTCCATTCCATTTTGAAAACAGAAATCTGCAGCATCAAACCAAATATCTGGCAAGAATCTCAGCGCCATCAGCGACTGCCGGTAAACGTATAACACTCGAGCCTTGTAACCAGCTCCCGCGTCCTCATCCTTCAACACCAAAGGGTCATCTTTTTCCCATCTGATCCAACGCTTCCATAACTGCACTTGCTTATTGAAGTACTCCTCGCCATCACATCCAGGGGCAGGGGGCAATCGAGGCAACGAAGCACGAACGAGATCTCTTGTGATGTTTTGCAACTCTGTATACGAGCTTCGTGCAGTCATGTAGGCAGGAGATTTTTCTTGTATAAATTTTCGACCCTAGATAGTTCAGTCAGTAGCAGAATCAGTACTTCATTTGGCTTTTTCTCTTTAGCGCACAAAACGGAGGAGAGCTAAATAACGTACCGTCAACTTATTCAAGCCCATTTCAAACTGATCATATTCTTTCCAAAGCGTATTGACAGCCTGCATGGGAACACATATGGCTCTCTGGTAAGCTTTTCGCAAAAGATCCATTTTCTGCTGATCTTGCCAGCCCGAACCTCCAATGTTTCCAGGTCCAGATCGAATAAATTGAATGTAATCAACCCATACATTTGCGGAGTCTTTATCAACTCCGATATTTTGCAGCGCAAAGTCGTAGGCAGATGAGATGATACCTCGGGCTTGGCCGGTTGTATCTGTAGTTAAATTATTACGGCGACGAACATAATCGAGATATACGGACCACAGTTGGACATTAGGTATGGACAAGAGACTCTTGTTGAAAATCTGCTCTAATCGATATAGCTCGTTATTTTCCGACTCCATGTTCGCATAGAACACCCACTGTTCAGCCTGTTGGGGGATTTTTTTTTTTTTATTAAAAGAAAGAAGTTAGTTATAGAATGGCAATCAGCAGATATCTCCTTTTGGAAAAAGGTTGTTCACTTACAGCTGATGGGAAAACCTTGAAAAATCGTTCGTAGACCTCCCGAGCACTGTCGAGCTTATTTCGACTGCGGTGTTCATTAATCAAATCCAACCATGCATCTGTGTCCCCGCGGGGATCTGCGATGATTCTATCCTCTAGTATACCCACTCGATCATGTGGAAGGCGGCCTCGCGAAACCACAGGTGTTGTAGGCGTGGAAGAAATCGACCTGCTGGCGGGTTGGGAAGGAACATCCCCCATTGGCGTCATCGTCGTCGGGCGTTGTAGTTTTGAATTGTCCTGCATATAGTTGGAAGCGCCATCACTTTGCGCCGAAATACCACCATAAGAAGGAGTGTGGGATGAGCTATTGAGAGGAACATCTTGAGGAGTGTTTTTGTCTTGAACAAACTGCTGTTGTTGCGATACACGATATTGAGAAACATTTTCATTGGCATTGAGAGAAAGGGATTGCTGACGAATACCAGCAGAATTAGACGCCACATTATGATGATCATCATCAACATGACTTAATGCCGCGGGAGGCTCATATTCCCCCCTATCATCATCGCTATCCTCCTCAACAAAGTTACCCATGGACTGGGAGGGGACTTGTACAGGAATGGCAGTGCTGGGAGTGGGGAGAGAGGCAGAGTCTCTGGGTTCAGACCTAGAAGCAATATGGGAAAGAGGAAAAGTATGACTATTATGCACGGCTTCAGAGAAATCTTGGGACATGGACCTCCGCTGGATGGAAGCTGAAGGAGAAGAAGAAGTATTTGAAACAGCACTCTGTTTTGAATCTGGTGGTAACTGTGCAGAATAATGATCATGCACTGCTTTTGAAGGATCATAATCGTCTGAATCTGAACTATCTGCATCCCGATCCCCAGCCACATCATAGCCCGCAGTCTCCGCATTCAGGGCCTGCGCTTGGAAAAATGCCTTTTCAGCTTCATCCTCTGCCATGACTTCAAAAAGCAACCTGTGGATTCGGCGGAGGTGAAACAGTTCAACAGCTGGAACAATCGACCTAGCTAGCTCGTCAAAGGAATTGTTAGAAGAGGCCAACCGAACGGCGCAGAAAGGGGGGGGACACAATGGACACGCCGGAAAGAGAAAGCGCCACAAACACGTAACACAGCTGGAAGCTAGCCAGCAGACAGAAGCAGTTACGCAGAACAGAGTCGTCGCCAATAGCCGTGGCAACACACCGTCGTAGAATGATGAGAGAGAGAGAGAGAGAGAGTGTGTGTGTGTGTGTGTGTGAGGTGCTGTCGTTGAGCACAATCGTCGCAGTGGGATGGTCTCTCCTCCGTCTGCCGTTTAAAGTTTGCCCAAGCCTCATTTCCTAAACAGGAATAGCCCCTAATCCCACATGTCACGTGTCACGTCGCGCTAAGCAACTAATCAACGCGACCCGATTCGGAAGGGGCCAAAGGCGGCCAGCGCGTCGGCAGAAAAAGCGTGGAGACAATCAGCCTGCAACGGTTTCTACGAACGACTCCGACAAACCACTAGGTATATAAGGGGGGCTGTTGCTCGGAGGAGAGAATAACAAACCCACATCTAACCTCCATATATATAGATATATGTAGATATAGCTCCATCTCTCCATCTCTCCCTCTCTCTCTCTCTCTCTCTCACACACACACACACACACACACACACACACACTCACTCACTCACTCACTCACTCACTCACCAGCTCACTCGCTCACGCTCACATCAACTCTCTTCATATTTATCTCTTACCGCATCGAACGCCCCAACTCTGCCCCGACTTGTTTAAACCATTGCATCTCAATCTCATTCCATCTAATCCCTATCTACATAGATACCAACTCCCCTCGCAATGTCTGTCGTTTCGCTCCTTGGCGTACGAGTCATCAACAACCCAGCGCCGTTCCTCGCTCCCTATGAATTCGAAATCACCTTTGAATGTCTTGAACAACTGCAAAAAGGTACCCGGAACTCTCCGTCATGTCCTGACTTACCCCTCTGCCGATTTTAAGGAGAAAACAAGGCAGGACGGTGTACTGACAAACAATTCTCCAGATCTGGAATGGAAACTCACCTACGTCGGCTCCGCAACTTCGTAAGTTTTGCCTGATTTCGATCCAAATCAGTAGTCGCATAAGCTTACATGTAATTTACATGATTCAGATCGGAACATGACCAAGAGCTCGATTCTCTATTAGTCGGCCCAATACCCGTTGGCGTCAACAAATTCATCTTCGAAGCAGACCCTCCAGACCTCAAAAGAATCCCAACATCCGAAATATTGGGCGTGACTGTGATACTTCTCACATGCAGCTATGATGGTCGAGAGTTCGTTCGCGTTGGATACTACGTGAACAACGAATATGACTCCGAGGAACTGAACGCTGAACCTCCCGCCAAACCCATCATTGAGAAAATTCGCCGTAATGTACTAGCAGAGAAACCCAGAGTTACGCGGTTTGCCATCAAATGGTATGTTTGTCATCAGTTTCTCAGTTGATGTTTTTCGTTTGCCCTTGTTGTTCCTACGAAATGAAATAAATATCTCTTGTGTCTAATCCATAAATTTCAAAAATTACTACAGGGACTCTGAGGACTCAGCACCAGCTGAATACCCACCAGATCAACCAGAAGCAGACGCGTTAGACGATGACGGAACAGCCTACGGAGCCGAGGAAGCCGAGCTCGAAAACGCTCTGCTGAAGGAACTTCAGGAGGTGGAGGAACTACACGCCGCAGGCGCTGCGCCAGGTGAGGACCACGAGATGTGCGACTCAGCTGACCTAGTTGGTCCTGCTAGAGATGAAGAAGGCGAAGATAACGATGATTCGGATGCTGGAAGTGAAGATCTGGAAGCTGAGAGCAGTGGTAGTGATGACGAGGAGGATGAGGATGAGGGCGCAGAAGGCGATGGAGACGACGACGTTGAGATGGGTGATGATACGGAGCAAAAGTCGGACGGTAATCAGTCGAATCACCTGGAGGATCAACGCCAGCAGGCACAGCCGGAGCTGATGGTTCATTGATTGATACCTGTTCCTTTTTTAAATTCCCGCTCTGTCCACCCCGCTGATTTGGAGCCGAAATCTTTTATGTTATTTCCCACCCTCCTACTATCTCTTGCCTTTTCATTCCCTTTATGATTTTATGTTTTTGCCATGTCGTTTACGGATATTTACAGGACTAATTTACTATCTCTTTCTTTTGGCACTCTTGCGCTACTTTTCTGTTTCTTTGTCCTTTTATTTCCCAAGCCCTCATAGCTTTCTTGATTTCACCCGCACGTCAAAACAGCCAATCAAAATTAAGTACACTGGCAATTTCAAAAACTCAAAACAAAACAAAAAAAAAAAAAAAAGGTCCATCATATTATCTAGAATCTACAATTAGTCCACTCCACTTAAACATTCACCACACGAGTTTCGCTGTTGAAACGCTTCCCCTGACCCAACCAGATCCGCAGAGCATGTATATCAACACTAGCCAGAATAGCGTATTCCCCAGAACAATACAACGACAGCTCTCGCAAGTTCAGAAACATCATGATATCGTGCAGTAAATATAAGATACAGTTGTACTAAAAAGGGGGGAGACATGGATTTGAGCAAAAATTATTAGAACCACTCCAAAGAATTCCGCCTTGGGGGGTTAAAAAAAGCAAGATATAAAATGGCGCTTCTTGGCAGATTCATGAGAGAAAGCGCAAGCAGAGATATGGGTTCCAATTGAACGGTAGGATCATTTGAAGGTTTCGGGTTTCAATAGTATTAAGTACAGTTTGTAGTATGCAGTATAACAAGTGCAGTTAACGAAGGATAAGGAATAAATCCCATCAAGGTCATTCTCCTCCTTCCTTTTCTTCCCCATTATGAAAAGGGGTCTTTATTGCTTCAGAATTACTATCCAGAATACAAAAGGTTTAAAATCCAAACTTGGAACCGATGGCTAGGGTCAAAGCTGTTAGTAAACTTACGAACAGAATATATTAAGTGGCAAAGCTAAAAAGAAAGGGAAAAAAAAGGGGGGGAGGGGGAGTCATCAAACCCACCGCCCAAAATCGCCTTCTTCTTCTGATTCTTGATATATTTATTCACATTCTCCACCCACCCACTGCTGCTCTCTTCAAGCCGATCCATTGAGTCACCCATGATATTGAGGTTCTCCGTCCTAAGCGCCATTTGTCGCTGCATATAAGCCCAGTAGCCTTCCTCAGAACCACCCTGGGCTGGTGAGCCCGAACTTTGAGGCTGCTCGCGAGCCGCTGCCTGGAGGGACATCTCGTCCTGTCGCATTTGTTCGCGCATATGTTTTGATGGCAGTCGATCGGGTCCTCCGACTAGAAAAATCTCAGTAAAGCTAAGACTTTGAAAGGATAAAGGATAAACATTGTAGCACTTACTCAACAGGTCCATGTCGGCTGGGGAGACATATTGAGTTCCTGATATCCACTGTAGATTCGAGATAGTAGGGCGTGGCGGTATAGAGAGTGCCGGGTTATATATTGCGTCTTCGCAACGGCGTCTAGCTCAATTGTCAGTACAAAATTCATGTCAGTTCCTTTTTGACGAATAAACTTACAGAGGTAACCCAGCACCCCAAAGATTTACCATGGCGAGCTCTGATGGCCCAATCCAGCCTATCACATCACCAGAGAGAGATATAACAGTTTCCCCAACTCTTCTCATGTCTAGAATGTTATCGATCTGCGCGGAGGCAATTTCTTTCAAAGCAGGGATTGAATACGCCCTTGCCTTGCCGTCGCCAAACATGCCAACGAGAGCGGATACCTCATTGGTTCTGACGACTGTCGCATTGTCACACAGGAAGTCATCCCAGTTCTTATCTGCACCCTTTGAAGCAGCTGGCTTGAATATTCGACAGCCGGATGGAGTGACAGCAATTACAACCCCATTCTTCTTATATCCGTTCCTCAGGTTGGCAACAGCAGACTGGGTGGCGAGGGCTGGCACACCAGTCTCTGCGTCGATAGGGCAAATAGATAATACCCGATCATCCACATTGCGAGAACCAGCAAAAGACGCTGTATAAGTTTCTGCTGACGGCAGGATCTTGAAAGTTGCGATGTTTCCTCTGCTGGTTCCAACTATACAGAGAATACTTGAATAGCCTGCACCATTGTTAGCCTACTCTAGAAAATAAACCGGGAAATACATGAACAGCGGCGCGGTGCGCTAAAATAAAACTCCTGACAAGCTTACCTTCTCCATCTAAAGACAAGACTGCGAATTTAATGCATGTAGGCCACTCAGATTGAGACTCTGATGAAGAGTGGTGGCTTTTCCTAACACTCATTCGTTTATGATGTTTAACAAAATCGGAAACGTGAGTAGTGTGGATGACTGCTGGCCCTCTCAGGTCGATTATGACGAGGCCACCTGATTGGAACCCAGCACAAACGAAGCCAACATCGCTGTGCTCAAGAGCAGTAACAGGTCCTTGGCCCTGGTTCAACAAAACCAGTGGAATAAATCCTTCTTTCAGCCCAGGGTCAGCTCTCCGATAAATATCAGTTAACTGCCCAGGTCCATCATTTTCACCCAAGAGCAAATCCCGGCCTGCATTCTGGTTACGACCCCATTTGAAAATAACTACCTCGCCGCTTTTCAGGCCAGCTGAGAATTCACCTGCGCCTCCAGCCAAAGACATTGCAGTCACTTCGACGTTGTCGAAACGGCCGACAGCACGAGCGAGATCGACTTGGATGATGGAAGGGTTTTCAATCTGGTCATCATGGCCCGTATCCCACATGCGAATGATACCGTCAGCATGGGCTGTTTGGACAATATCTCGATTTTCGAAGCGTTTCATCGGTTTCTTTGCCAATGCGCCTCCGATTAGAATGCTTGGTCCCTGGGCCCGTTTCTCCCGCCAACCTAGCCACCTTGTGCGATCTACGGAGGCTAGAGCAATTTTGGTGACAAATGGATGAACAAAGGAGAGTGACAGATGGAGCATATTTGTGGGAGAAATCGGATGGCCGCTTGGAAAGCTCAGAGTGACTAGCTCTCCCGACGAGAGCAATGCAATCACGGCAATGGGGTCTTGTGCATTGGCAAAGTAAGGGGATGAGCGGGGAATTAGTACAAAATCCACAACCTCCGCACTTGGCGGGGTTGCCAATTTGCTAACGTGCTGTGGCTTCGCAAGATGGCTTGCGAGGACTTGCCACGACGAAGTTTGATAGATCGGTGTAGGTCCAAGATCGAAAAATGTCAGACTTTTATTCATTTCTGTAGTTGGGCCTCCTCCAGCAATTAACAGGCCAGTGTCATCGGGATTTTCTTTACAGCACCATGCAACTTGGAATATTGGTTCCTTTAGAGAAAATGTTCCTGCGGGTGTAGTTGTCGGTAGCACTGCTCCTGGTTTGTTAATATCGGTATCCACTAAGGTTCTGGCCATAACGATTCTCCCATCTTTAGGGTCCCAGAACACTAAGCTTGAGTCATCATGTGCTGTAAGGATAAAGGTTCCCGTAGGATGCCACACGGCTTTGGTTAGTCTAGGTCTTCGCACCTCTCGAGAGGCCGAGGGATCTGAGTCTCCACCCGGAGCGCCAGGAGGAACTTCATACTGGAAGAATTTGACTGGAGTATTCATTTTGATAGAAAAAGTTACAGCTCCTTCCAGATATCCAATTAGGAGATTTCCAATATCCCGCGGATGAAAAGCCAGCGATACAATAGGCAAAATCCTAGCCCGGGGATTTATTTCCTTCCACAGATTGGGAAGCTTGAACGGAGCAATCCTAAGGCGGTCGAGGTCATACGTGACGAGGTCACCTGTTTTCCTGCATTTTAAGAGACTATGTTCCGAAATGGCGTTTGGAACTGAAAGGAAAAACAAATTTAACAGATACAAGTCGCATCACATACCGCTCTGTAGACCTATAAAGGCATATTCCAAGCTTGGATCTGTCAACAGGGCAGTGACATGGCCTGGCGGCGTATACGCCGCAAGTTGTGCGCGTTTCTCAAGAGAAAATACACAGAGCTCGTGTTTCGAGTCCACAGAAACAATCTTATCGGTGCAGAATTGAAGGACCTTGACAGACGCCTTGCGCGGGAGTGTGAACACGGCAGACACCCTCTCCTGTCCAAAGATATAAATCTGTCCACTGCCATACTGTGTTTCGCTAGTCCCGACAGCAAGCAGCGACTGCACGGGGTCGTATGCAAGAGCGCTAATCCGAGAGTTTATGCCATATCTGGCAACCTGAGAAGGCAAACAGACGTATTAGAATCATCCTTTCCTGATATCAGATAAAGGCTACAACTCACATCATCCAGCACGAAATGCTCCGGAGCAAGGCCTGCGCTCAAATCCGCATGTATCCCAGCTTGTTTTCCCCTTAGAAAGTGTGCCATACTTTGGCTTGGAATTAAGCTCTTAAGAGTAAGTTGACGAGAGACAGTTGACCAAACGTAGATAGCATATAAAACATCCCGCCCCCCAAAGAGACTGACTACCCTTGGATATTGTTAGGAACGTTCTTAAAGGAAGGTTTGGGGCTCAGCGGTTGCATGTTGCATGCGGGAAAGTGAAGCTTGGTCGTTTCGGCGGAGTCACGTGGAGATAAGAAATAGTGCCCAGCGCTTGCCGAGGTCTCAGTCGACCGCGAAAACTGTCACGCTATATTTCACTCTACAACCTTTCGAACGTCAGATCGATCTATGCTAAGCATTTCATCGGGAAAAGACCTCGTAGAGAAATTCCAACTCGAATTAATTACCTGGGTATATGCTAAATACGCATTCAGAGTTATGCCGTAGTGCTTTTTGGCTGTCCCTTCAGGAACTCCAGCAAATGCAATCAGGGAGACAAAAGAGGAAAAAGGGGAGGTGACCGAAAAAAGTAAGCTAAATCCCAAAAAAAAAAAAAAAAAAAGAAAAGAAAAGAAAAGAAAAGAAAACACCCAGGGCAGTTCCTACACAAAAGAAAGGAGAAACGAATCAAGAAAAAGATTATTAAAAGAAATATGTCAGAGCCTTCAAATAGCAGTCCATCACCCATCATATCTATCAGTCCAGGGCAGCCATTTCTGAAACGATCATCGTTAGTCCTCTTCGAGCACGCATTTCCTCATCGTCCTGTCGACTGCGATAATATTGCTTCACAATTCTACGTATATGACGTAAGCAGGAATATCTAAAAGAATCACCAGAATCAGTAACCAGTCCTATTAACAGTACGGCAGAAAATTGGCTGTGAAGAGTCACGAACAGTAGTAATCGGGTACGAAGAGATTCATCCTCCATCTGCATCTTGTTGGACCCGTAGCCTTTCAATAGAGCAGGTGATGGGTCCTCGAAAACCTCAGCCATCAGAACGTCCCCCCATACAGCATTGCTGAAATCAGCAAATCCCATGACCGATTTGGTGTCTCGGTCGACAAGGATATTGGATCTGTCTCCGATATCCACAACGACCAGGCGGGCTTCAGTCACATCATCCAAAGCTGGGGCGAGTCGTAGGACCTGGTGACGGATCTCGGCGTATGGGAGAGATATGAACATGTCCTCTGCGTCACAAAGGATAGCTTCAATAAATGATAGGAATGTATGCTTCCAGCTCTGCCTCCCTTCACCCTGAGCAACGCAATGGACGCTGCCGAACTGGGTGGATATGAACTGGCCGAGGAACTTCACAGTCCGTCCCAGCTGCTCGTCAATACGATTCCGATGTGCGGATGTGATGGAAGAAAGTTCGACATCACTAAGTGGAACTCCTCCCATTGACTGTTTTAAGAGAAATGGCGTCCTAGGTGAGAAATCAAGGACATCAAATCTGAAAAGGCGAGGAATGCATGGACTGTTTCTCGAGGCCAATATCGAAAGAACTGCGGCTTCCGTTTCTAGAGAGTGCCTCTCTTGCCGTAGCAGTATTGCAAGTTGTCTGGCACCGGTCTTCAAGGTGAGTTCAAGGCCATTGGAGAGTTTGAGGAGATAAATCGGATACACGCTATCGTGAAGTGTTTTGTAATCCAAGACGCGAGCACATGGGAATATCGGTTGAATCAGACTCTGGAACATAACAAGATCGGGCCGATTTTTGGTCTCAGACTCCGGGACATAGAGGGGCATATTATTGAAGGTGTCATGTAAATGAAGACGTGTATTCCAATGGCTTGAATGCCTGGGAGAGATGTGAGACGGGCGCAAGATCATTATATAGAAACTTAACGATTGACAATGATAACCAGGATGTAAATTGGGTCACAGAAGAATTGGCATCTCCATATCCATATATATGGTGATTAATAAAAGGTTTACCATGGTTATTAAAAATTCACGTCTATGACAGCCATAACAATTTTGTCATCCAATTTGACAGCGGAAGGGGAGGGTTGCCTGCGCTCTAGGCGAAGCGAGATAAACGTCCATGCAGCCACAAGCCTATCGTGTGCGGCAACAGCCGAGCAGACAAGCGAGAACATAGGGCGGTATCCCGGATAACGGACGTATCTGTGCCAGGAGGGGTCCACAAAGAAACTTGATGAAAGATAATTAAACCATCGATCCCTCCTCTTCCAATCGTGACGGCAGGTGGATACAGTCAAGGGGACAAAAGTCATGCGCCGCTAAACCGGACGCGTCATTCTTCGGTTGCGTTTTGGGAATAGAGTACCTATTATTTACGAGAGAAGTGTGAAATAAAACCGTCACGGACCTTGCTTTAATAAGTTTGTCCTGATGAATCTGAGATAGGCGTGCCCACTGGGAAGCCACAGACCCCAAGTCCCAAGGAGGTATTAGCGTCAAGCCAGGGCGCTTGAACAACCTGCAGAAAATTTCACTCATTCCATGACTGGTCCGGAGTGGAAAGCTAAAAAGCGAACGTTGCATCATCAATGGGACGGAAATAAAAAGTAAAAATAGAAAAAAGAAAAGAAAATCGGGCTGTTAGGTCTTGAGGGTAATGTTTCGAAACACTAACGGGAACAGCCATGAGAAAACGACCTCAGAGAAGACCGTTCTCCTGAATAAAAAGTTTGTTGTGCACATTACCCGGCATATTGGGGTTTGTTCGGGAGAAGGGTCCTGCTGGGGATGGTGATGCAGCCGCTTTTCCCCTGCTGTCGTTGCAGGAGAATAGAACTCGCCAGAATTTGCTAAGTTGAGAAAAGACTCCGGGTCTGGTCCATGAGTGAACGGGCTCAGATCTGAAACGGCGGTTCATTTTGCTGCCAACTCCAGCGCTGGACACCGGAGGAGGGTTCGGGTGGGCCAATCACGGGCGCACATTGGCGAGATGCCGCTAAGCTTGGCTGGTTTGATGGAACTGTGTCTGGAGGCTGGAGAGCCGTGCCTGGAATGGCCTGGGAGCAAATCACTTGCTTTGGTAACGGGCATAAATAATATGGCACTACCGTAGCAGAGAAACTGCCAGAATATACTCCGAAGGTCGGGGAGGGATTTTAGCTTTGGTTCGGATATCGGTAAATAGCACGATATGACTGGCTGAAGAACTCATCACCGGTCGCCAAAAGTGAATATATCAATGGAGCACCCTGTATAGAAGCTGTATTTAACTTCAGTCCCGGTCTCGTGTGGATGATCACATTACCAAGTCAACTGCTTCATATGAAGGCCTGGATAGCATAGACGAATTGTTTTTCGTCAGCCCACAACAGTTTCAGATATAAATATAGCCTCATAGCTAACGGTCGTAAAAACGCCGTGCCTGCCACCCAAGAGGGTTCCGTGAAGGTCTGCAATATCTAGAGCTATATAAGGACTTGCCGTTCCAGGTGCTCTACAGAAGCGAGACAGATATGAACTTGCCGAGTAACTGGCTGAAAGCCCCCCCCCCCCCCCCCCCCCAGGCTATGTATTTGAAGCCGACTGATACGCGGGTAGGTAGTCTTGGGCAGGAAAATAGATAACCTTCTCTTTTCCTGCCTTCGACTGTGAAAAGTCTTCTGCGCCTCTTCTCCTTGTTCGCAGTTTCTCGAAGTGTTGTATATCCTAATGCCCTTTGGCCCTTTGGGAGAGGGTGGTTGAGGTAACGGGGATACGGAAGCAGAGGACACGGGTTCTTCAAGCAGCGGCGATAAGCTGTGAGTATGCGGTATATGCGGTATATGCGTTAATGAAGCAAAAAAATATTTAAAATAATAAATAAGTGAATAAATTACGGCAGGGTGCATCAAGAGACTCTTCTTTTTTTTGATTTTATTTTCTTTTTTTTAAAAAAAAAATTTTTTTTGAAAATTTTTTGATTATTTGCATTTATATCAACTTTTTTGTTACAGGTTTTAAACTAAACAATAAATGATAAATGATGATGGGTAATGTTAAGACGCAGAAGGAAATGAAACATGGACAGAAAAGAAACCTAACAAATATGATTAGAAGAGAAAATTATCCCATCAAGCGTCAACAATTTCAATACCGTAGAATGAGAAGGGTGGTAAAAGAAGTAATAGAGGATGTTCACATTGACCATCATGGAAGCACCATTAATGACGGAAAAACGTATTGTGACAAAAATATTGTCGGCCATAATATCATAATCCAACAGCAAACGGATAAGAGAAGAAAAAATTCCAAAAAAAAATCATCTATTAAGGCATCTCATAAAAAATGAATATAGGAAATACGAATAAGAGGGGATGAAGGAGAAGGTACAGAGAAACGCAGAAGAAAACAAGGGGGCTTGGAAGTTCGGTCTTCAACATATACACAGAAACCCCTCTTGCTCTGTTCCTCAAAATCAAAACCATTCAAAGAAGCATGAAATTATTTTGGCTTCCAAACTTGCGAAAGTGCAAAAATCATGACATGATGATATGTGTTGCGCCCACTACTGTTTGGACCTTATTATTCCCATAATATATGCAAAGGAAATACAATTAAAACAGAAGACAGAAAATAAGTGAAAAGCTTAATTAAAATACAAGATGGAAATGAAGGTGGAGGTGGAATGCAAGAAGAAAGCCACAGAATTTCATTCACCACACACAAAAGCCAAATGTCCAGTTTCGCCGTTTTGCCTGAATGTCAAAATATCGGGAATATAAAGAGGATATAATAAACTAACTCATAGGGGGAAGAGAATATTAACGGCTAAGGATGTTAACATCGTTTCCAGTCGGGACCAAGAGAGTCGAGGTAGTGTCTCAGTTTAGGAACGCAGGATAGTAACTGGTATGTCTCTCGGTTCTTTTTTCTTCTTCGTGTATATATCACGCCCCAAATTATATGTAATGCGGCGTTATCCTTTCCTTGCGGCGACACGTGCGAGCATAACAGCGCCAAAAGTAGTAGATATCATTGCGTACTAATACTTTCGGGACTGAGCATGGCACCGCCCCCAGAGGTGGAACTCCCACCCGCTGCATGATCTGGTGCGTCTGCTCCATTTACTAATGCGCTCGATGAACCGTTAAGCTTAAAGTCGTTATTAGCATTGTTAGCTGAAGGTGGCATTTCTGAATCGCTCTCCGCAATGATTCCATCCACAGCTGCCTCGGGTTTGCCCTTGATGGACGATATTGTTGCAGCTTTGTCATCAAACGATATTGAACCAACCTTCTGTTTACCAAGAGTCTTAGCGCTAGTTGAACCCTTGGCTAAATTCGCTGATTCATCATTCCCTGTTTCTGCGTTTGAAGGTCCGGCCGTCCCGCCGTTTTTCTTGGATTTCTTCTTGCTGGGTTCGGAGGCCCCAAATTTTGAACCACCTGGTCCTGCAGGTGGAGCGGGTCTCTTTTGCGGACTGGAACTTACTCCAGCACCCAGAGGAGCTTGGGGGATTTTACCCGATGCGGGAACTCGTGGCCTTGCTGCTGTTGGCCTCTGCTTTGGAGGTAGCTCCAAATCCTCGACCAGAGGCTCGTCGTTATTAGCATGGAGCTTTGCAAGGAAAAAGTTCTGTACCAGGCCGATTTGAGAAGAAAGTGTTTGAAGGGATATTCGGGGGTAAGGCGGTGGGGGTGGAAATAAGGCAGCAGATGTTTGCGCAGCACTGCAGCAGCAATGAATGGTTAGCTATGTACGCATACCTCAACGTAGCGGAAATTAGAGCAAGGTTGACAACATACTTTGTGTTCTGCGCTTGATGTGCGCTATACATCCGATTCTGCAGTAAGTGAAGCGGTACACTCAAACTTGCAAGTCCGAACTCCTTGTCAAGGCCAAGCTCCTTAAATCCAAAGAAGTCTTCATCTATATCCTCTGCGAAATCACCTCCGACGAACTGCTCGCTTCCATCATGGAAGGCACTAGATCCATCACCTCCTGTATCGTTAAATGCTGGGCGCAGCAACTCAGTAAGATGGCTCTTCATTCGTTCATGAATAACGCCAAGCTTCTGACCGAGACGATCTACATCCTCTTTAACGTAACTTTCAAGAGATTCTACATCTGTCCCGACTGATTGAAGTGTGTGCAAAATCATCTTCTCCGCCGTATATGGTGATTTCCACTGAGATGAAGCTGTGGATTGCTCAGTGCGTGGAACCTTGGGTGATTCCATATATGTCTTAAGAGTCGATCCAATCTTATAGAAGAAATCTGCGGCGACGTCTGTAATAGCGTCAAGGGCGGATGGTTGATACTCCTCAAACCCAGCGCTGTAGAAGATTTTCCCAACAGAGCGTTGGAGAGCTGCTCTGCATACCCATGGGCTTATGACAGGCCCGTTGTCATTCATGACATGGGTTGGGACATCGCGCTCCACAAAGGGCTCTGGATTGTATTTCTGAAATTGGTTTTGATACATCTACACGATTTGTTAGACAAACTATTATTTTCATATTGGATTGGTTGGAGGAGGAACCAGGAAACATACCTGTGATTGAAGCTGCATCTGCTTCACGATGCCTATTTTCGAGCATATCTTCCTTGTCTCTTGCATCTGACGCAGGTTTGCGTCCATTTTCTGCGTGAACTTGCTCTTGGGAGCTGTAAAGTATCCCTTCGGCAGAATTCGAAGAAACTCTTCTGAAGGGTCTACCACGTTGCCTTCAGAGTCTTCGATCCAGTGTAATTGTTCGGGGAGGTCCGGAATTCCTGACATCGTATCGTAATAATCTGGAAGCATTTTGTCTTCCTCCTCCTCAATACCTTCCGCCAAGGTCTCTCCGGTCGTCTCCGCCTCCCTAGACTGCGGTCCAGCAACAGCCAATCCATCAATCTCATCCGTAGCCTGTCTTTGGTTTCGAAGCCATCGCCTCATCCCAGCCTTCGTTCTCAGCAAAGCTGGCTCATCGGAATTCAATTTATCCCCATTGAAAAGTCGATGTCTTTCAGCTGCAAGAAGTGCTCTGTCCTTTTTGGTGACTTGCTTCCATATTTTGTATTCGGGATCTTCAAATTCTATCATTGGTCGCGACAGAGTTGTCGAGTTCACAGAGACAACAAAAGAATCAATATCCATTGAGTCACCTTGACTTCCAGGAGCACCTGTGCCGAGTCCATTCGAACCAAGAGGAGTGAGAGTACCAGGGGGAGGGGTGGAAAATCCATTCTGGCTTCCATCCACAGCAGCATCTGATTCGGCGCGCACTGTCGCTGCTCCTTGAGGTTTGGTATCGGCTCCAGGAGTAGCTTCAGTTCCGCTTCCAATAGCCACCCTGCCGGTTCCCGTTCCCTTTTTGGATTTCATTCCGGGAGCTTTGCGGCCCCGAGAAGACATAATCGGCTCATCGTCACTCTCTTCAGCGCCATCAAGCTCGGCCAGCTGGAGTCTTCGTTCTTCGGCTTCAACCTCAGCGCGATCCCGAATGACAATGTCTGGGATTAGCGGGACGAGCTTCTCGGTTTCCTTCCTCATATAGAGGGCATGTTTTCGGAGAAAATGTTCAGGGTTGGCATTGTACTTCAAGCAATTGGACCAAATAAGATTGAGATCCTCAACAAACTCCTGTTTTGACTTATACTGGACCGCTTTCAGCTTCTTAGTCATAGTCCCCAAGTCCATCGGGCGTTTGATAACTGCGATAGTTGTGAGTCAACTTAGTTTAGAAACCTCGAAATTAGTAGTAAAGGGCGGGATGGAAAAATTCTCACTATTATAATAGTCGGGTGCTTCCCGTTTATTCACTCTCGTCAAAAAGGCACTAGAGTGCTCCGTCATAGCTTTTAACTCACTGAGAACCTTTTCTGCAGCCTCATACAGCTCCTCCTGTCCAACTTTCTCCTCACTTGCCCATTTACTTCGATTTTTTCTGACTTCGCTCATCAAACTTCGCAGCTCAGCATCCGAAGCCTGAACTTCACTGCGTTTCATATCGATGCGCGCAATAAGATTTTTCAGGGTCAAGCTCGAGGCACCGAGGTTTGCACTGCTCAGAGTTCCATGACCAGAGGTTGTAGCATGGGCGGGATTGGCATTATTCGCACCCTGGCTGGACATCTCCGCCTCGACTTGTCTCTCGGACTCCTCTAGCCTTTGCTGGTCCAGCATAGCATCCCGGTCATTTTCTAGGGTATAAAACAAGGAACGAAAGCTTCGCTTCGCAGTCTCTTCGATTGCCTTTTTATCATCTTCCAATTTTTTGCGGATATCTTCTAATGATTCCTTCTTTGAATCCTTCGAGGTATCTGACGATGAGGTTAGGGTGATCGCTTGTTTTTGAGGTGGAGAAGGTAGGGAGTGGGAATCTGGTCGAGCGGTCGGGAGTTTTGATTTAAGCGGGGAGGGAACCGGAGGAGCACCATCACTCTCTTCCTCATCATCGTAGTCGTCATAGTCATCGTCGTCCAGTTTGCGCACTGCCTTTCGGGGCGGAGCTGAGGATTGCGCTTGACTGTCGGCCGCGGCAGCACCGACCGCTGCGCTTTCAGAAGCTTCAGCATCATTGTCGCCGGTATCAGGAGCTTTTACAAAAGAAAACAATGCGCCAATTTTTGCTTCGCCTTTCTGATAGCAATCCCTAAAGGTGGCAATACGCGGGTCATCTTCCGGAGTTGTTTCAGCTTCGGATATCATGTTCCCGGGCTGCGCTCCGTCGGTGCTAGGGCGGAATCGGAACTGGGGAGTACGGGGTCGCGACGGGACTTTTGAGAGGCCATTGACGACAGGATGGGAATCGTGGTGGTCATCGGGGGGGCGAAGATGGCCTGGTGGAAGCCAGGTGTGGTGTTGACCGAGAGACATTAACGCTCCAAACCCCCAGCACTGGGGCGGGCGAGGGGTTCGTCCCTCCACGCTTTTGGGCCAGTTCAGCGAGCGACAGCAACGCGGCGTAGGGAGGGTAAAAGTGGTATCAAATGAAAGCCAGGATCGCAATAAACAGTCCAGCGATATATCCGCAGCCAGAACTGATGGATGGGGGGCGTTATCGATGGCAGGCGACCGGGCTGCTCTGGTGGAGATTCTTGCGGAGGTGACAAGACGTGATGCTCAGCTAATATCAGCAGGGAAGCGGGTCACGGGACCTGGGGGAGCGCCCAGTGTCCAGTGCCCAGCGCCCAGCGCAGAACTGAGTAGGAGGACATAGTTAAACGTTAGTTTAGGCACACCAGGGTATATATAGAGGGAGAGAGACACGCGCACATATATAATATATATATATCTCATAGACCATAATTATTATTCCCTAGTGTACTACACACGACGCTGTCCGCTTTCATCTCCCGCGAGCAAGCAAAGATATGGCCAGTCAACTCCCCGAGCTGCTGTCATCTGGTGTCCACTGAACCCTAATCAGCCACAACTCCCCACGAGCAGAAATTTGCCGAAACCACATAACCCCAGAGTGTGAAGTAGATATACGGAGTACATACATTCCGCGGGATTTTGGTTATTCTGCGCTCTCATACATCATATACCATTGGCCACCATGTTGCGGATACGTTACCCATTTGCTGGTACGCACCAAGTTCTCCCATTTCTGCCCGCCTAAAATCCTCACCTGTTTATCTATTTATCTTTATCTATATCCATATATCTCACGCTTTGATATGCTCATTCTCTAACCAAACAACCCCAGGCGCATTTGCTCTCCTCTGTCTCGTCGGCGCCTACATCGGTCTTCTCCCACACAACAATGGCCCCTCACAAGCTGGCAACAGCAAAAGCCCCAAAAAGTCCCACTCACACACTGTCCCTTCCCTCAGCCCCAACGATAAACTTTTACACCTGGTCACCTTCTTTCTCCTCTCCGTCACCTTTTACTGGGTCCTAGATACTACCCGTCGACGCACCGTCCACCTAACCATCATAGTATGCACCATGGCCCTCGGAATAGGCTCAGAGATCCTCCAAGCACTGCTCCCCAACGACCGCTCCTTCGACCCCGTCGATGTGCTTTCAAACATCGCCGGCAGCCTAACTGCCGTCGGTCTATGTAACTGGTACCATAAGCGGATGCTCGAGCGCCGGCGCAAGGCCCGCTTTGGGGCAGTGGTGGAGGGGGTAGGGGATGACGTTGAACTGGGAGGTATCCGTTCATCGTCAACGAGCGGGAATCATGGAGGGCTAGGCTCGCAGGAAACGGGGGTCACTCCGGTGCGGGCATTAGAGCAGGAAGTGGACAATTGGGATGAAAATGCAGTGGATAATTGGGAGGAGGGCGATGATGATATACAGACGGTCACCGCTTGTGGGGATGGCGATGTTGAAGAGGTTCGGAAGATACAGCCTGATTGATTTGTTGAATTTTTGGTTGTCTGATAGATATGTGATTTGGTATTCCTGGACCTTTTTTTTTTTTTTTTTTTTTTTTTTTTTTTTTTTTTGGTTTTGGTTTTGGTTTTTGTTTTTGTTTTCAAAATATATTGCTCCTTCTATCATGACGGGAAGAAGGGGAAGCGAATTACGAATAATTGTTTACAGAAACCCAGTAACGGAAAGGAATGAGATGAAAGTACATGACAATGTATACTAATTGTGGGATATTTATATTCGGATTTATCCTTCTTACACCAACTTGTATCATTGGCATTGGCATTGTCTGTTGTCTCTGTTCTATCTAGCATTGTATTAATTTTAGCTCTCTCCCTCTTGGATCCATTATAATTCTGCTCCGCCCTTTCTGTTGATTCGTCCGGTTGCATGCAACCTTTGGAATGCAGAAATGCCACATCGTTAACATGTTCCGGTGTTGCTTTTCGACCTTATAACCTGGATTCCCCGTAGGTACAGTACAATCACATGCATGTCGACTTGAAAAGTTGACTAGAGCGATATAGTTAAAAATTCGATATAAAGATTACACGTACACGTCGCGCATATGAACATTCCTACCTTCGAACATGCACATGCAAGGTACTAGTTTTCGCTCTTCTCTTCATATCAATTATGGCTCACCAATAGCCACCAACCATTCTTAGCAAGCGCCCAAGTATGCAATGTCTTTGACTTTAAAAACGAACCGTCTCCTCAAATAGCTGACTCCTCCCAGATACCGAAAAGGTGTAAAATAAAGACGCCCCCACCGCACTCTGTCCTGAGCCAAACCATAAAACCACACAGCAAAGGAGGAGAAGGAGATAATACAGGATAAGGGAATGAGAAAAAAAAATACACGCCGGTCCCTGGGCTACCATGTCCTTAGAGCGAAAGGAAAAAGAAGTTGAAAGTGCCTTGCAAAAAAGGGGGAAAGAGAGTGAAAAAAAAAAAAAAAAAAAAAAAAAAATCCGTAAAGAACCTCTTAAACGCCTAGTTTTTGACTGGGCTAGGGATGATGTCAACAACAGGAACAAGTTCCTCCTTCTGCGTGGGTTCAAAGGGCGTATCCGTATCGCTAGAGAGTTTCGCCACCTTCAGCGAGCGCGATCCAGGCGACTTCAATTTCCTAGCGTTAACATCTCGGCTAAGGAAAAGGAGAACCTGTTCCTTGAGGATGTCGTAGAGAAACTGGTACTGCGATTCGGTGTAAACCATGCACATCCGTTGCTCGCGGAGCAGATTCACCGTACTGAAAATCGGATCTGAGTCGCCAGTTACTTTCAACAGGTCTCCCGTCCGCATTTCCCGCAGCAGGTGGTCGATGGTTATGAACGTGCCTGTCCGTCCGACGCCAGCGCTGCAATGTACAACGCGAGGATTGTCTAGAGAACCGGCCTTTTCCGCAGTGGCTTTGGTCAATTTAATAAGTGCATTGCGGTCCTTCCCTTGTGGCTTCGTGTAGTCGGACCACCCGGCAAATAAATAATGCCAGACAATCTTAGATTGCGAACCAAGGGTGAGTTCGAGTTTGCGGACTTCAGAACGGCACTCTTCGTCGTAGGTGCAATCCAAGAGCGTGACCTTTCCGATATTGTCATCGGTACCATCACCGTTGCGATCGACGAAGGGATCAGTGACCGCGCGAGAAATTTGGGTGACGGGCGCGTCCATATGTAGGGGGAAATATAAAGCGCATTTTTCTTTCCCTTGCTCGTAGGTCTGAGTGAGCATGACCACAACAGCTGTGTCTCTGGTTTCATGAAATACCATATTCCAAAAGTGCTCCAGGTAGCCGGATTTAGGGCCCTTGGTGAGAATCATCAGCAAATACTCAATTAAAAATAAGGCCCAAAAGGAACTGTATATTTACCTGTGCGGCAATGTAGCGAGCAATCGCCCTAGTTTTGGAGTGGGTTAGAGATATCGGTGATGCGTTAATAAAATCGCATTCCCCATCAGGTACTTTGAGGTGAATTCGGGAGTGTGACCACACTTGAATATTTATATATCGATTCCTTGGCAGGATCTCTGGGCTATCTTCTACCACAAATTTCTGCTCTCCTCCACCCGTTGTCCCTTCGGCTCCTGACAGGCGCATTGCTTGAAGGATTTCGATATCGACGAATTTCTTATGTATTTCTATTAGACGCAAAACAGAAAATGAGAACGAAAAGGCACGAATTAGCCAATGGGATCCTCAGTAAGAAAAAATAACACCATTTCAATTGGACCAGCGATACTAACCTGCACCGGGCAAATTTAGAAAGGTAGGGATATCCTCATTCTCATACCCGTTCTCATCTCCATTCCTTCCAGTCGCCAAAGCGTTCTCCTCCTCTCCCGATAACGACTCCTTTTTCCCGGATACTCTACTATCATCTGAGCGTGACCGCTTCAACAACGGCGACTGGAAATGCACTTCTGACATCTTCGCAGCGGCTCTGAGACGAAATAACTTGGCTTGGGCGAGGAGATTTCGTACTTTCTGGTGCGTGCGATGTCTTGAACTGCTGTTCGACCGGCTGCTTTGGGAATCTGGAGATACAGTGGAGGAATTGAGAGCCGGAGCTGAAGCGGGAGCGGGTGCCGATCCAGAGTTGATAGAAGATCCAGGCGCGCCGTCCAGCGCATCAGACTCCAGCCAGCTGGTGGAGCTGTCCACTACGACCTGTGGTGCCACGTTCACGGAGCATTCGCTCACGCGAGCTGGGGTCGAAGGAAAGATTGTTCGTGGTAGCTTGGAATAACCACGCGGAAGACGATGGAAACGCCGTAGTCACAAAGAGAAAATAAAGCGAGTATCAGTAATACTGAACATCAGCTTGTAAGATAGCATCTGGAAATGCTTTTGCAGTTAGTGGTTGGCTAATTAATTGGCCATTTGTCGCCAAACGGCCCACGGCCCACGGTCCACAGGGAGTAGTATAATGTCCTTCCCAATTGGAGTTGACTGAGCAGTTTTAAATCTGAATGACAATCTACGTGGAAGTGTGGCTGGCGATGGGCCTGGATATAGGTTGGTATGAGTAGCTGTCCTCAGGGGATGGCGAAGGAAAAGGGCCTTGAACTGTAGCAATGGGATCTAAGATCTATGTACGTGCTCCGTTGCCCGAGTGCCGTGTATCTAAGAGATCATGATCATCTCAACGCCGGGTGCCAATGGACTCTTCCAGGAGGAATTGAAGACAAGAAGAATACTGAAGAGAGCAGTAAGCGTAAGTGACGAGGATTCGAAGTGATCAAGGGTCAGTCAGCCAGTTGTGAAGGAGTACGAGCCGGGGGGATAGTTAAAAGCGAGAAAGTTGGAGAGAGTTCGTTCTGCCGGATCCCCACAATTTATTTAATGGTGTCTTCGACGTTTCCGTGGCGGCTACGATGCCCCACCTAAAGCCGATAGCGCCTATTAGCTGCTGTGTTTAGTTACCACCCCCGATAAGCCCAACCAACGGACAAACCCCACTCACTTAACAGCCAGGTCTCTTTAATCCTTCCATTAACAACCGCCCATCACTTACACACTCCCACACTCCCACACTCACACACTCCCACACTCACACACTCACACACTCACACTCTCACACACTCACACACTCACCGTTTCCAAAGCTCTTAGTTCTGCATTACCGGTGTCTCACAGGGCCCCAAGCTTGGGTTTACTTCCTGGGATTCCTGCAAGCAGCTCTGAGCTTCACTCCGTTACTCGTATGTGAGAAGACGCGGATTGCTGGGTGGCAGCATCTCCACCAGCACCAACACAGCATGTGGCTTCGGATGCTTGAGGTATGTTAAATAAACTCATCTTACAAAGCTTGCCACAGAGAATCCCTAAACTGACTAACGTTACTCTCTTTGCCAGGTTTGGCTCACTGCAAGGGTAAGCTACATAGAGTGCCCGGTTAGCAGGTTGATGAAAAATTAAAGCAAGCTTGTCTCTTGTTACAGCTAACTCTCTTTGTGTATATGCTAGCTACTGGCGAGCCCGGGGTTTCACAGAACAGTGAGGCTAGTACACAAGAAGGTCCAGGAGATTCGGCATGGCAAGGCCTTGGAGGAAATGGGAGGCACCAATATTGAGAGTTAGATATCCGCAGTCATATCTTTGGAAAAGAATGTCAATAGGTAACTTATATACTGACATATTGCACTCCGACATCCAGAGCCAGAGGGCAGTCTGAAGCGTTTCTTCGAGTTATTCCGTGACGAACTGAAAAATCAAGCTGGCAGGGGCCCTCGAAACCCATAATGACGAACGAGACGACGGTGGTTAATAAATAAACCATCTCCACATAGCCTGCTACTCCATGTTTTGCTCCCTCGTACACACCTTGCATAACCTGTACATATACCTTCTTATACACAAGTTCCGGATTGTGTCTATTTTCTTTGACAGCTCAAAGACGAAATCAGAAGTCCAACAATCAGCGAACAACCCGTTAGTTACCAATCGAGCATCATGCTGAAGACCGGATAGAGATTGGGCCTCTTCTGCTTCTCACGCACCGTGCGATGTGTCCTTCATATCCTCAGAGTATCAAAATCAAAATCTTAAGCTATATTTGTCGTTGATTTTCTGCCGCCAATGCCAACCATTGATCTTACCATGTTGTTTTGACTCCGTGTCCAAGATTTGATTGAACCAAAGTGGGAGTCTGTAGGATATTGACTGCTGTTTCTTTCCAATGTTCACTACCTGTTTCAACAGATTCTGTCAAGTCTCAAGATAATGATGGCGTTCTTTTGTTTGATTCTGGTTCCAAACTATCTCCTGTTACAGATTCTTTAGGAGCCTTCATGCTTGAATTCTGCTTCTCCTTTAAAAAGCCAAATATATATATATATAATAATACCATATCTATCTCAACCCCGTAGAGCAAGCACATACCATTGCCATGATTCCGCTATTTACAACGTATTCCTTTTTCTCGTTTCCATCTGTCGTCTATCTTGAGATCTAAATGCGACAAGAAGCCCGTAATGTC